CTATAGAAAAGGAGGCTTGTAGACAAAGCTGGACAAAGCCAGCTGTGTGACTGGAGGGCAAATGGCTTAACCACTGCATGGTGCTGGGTCGGAGCTTCCCTCTGGGAGTCACCTCCAGGTTCCACTGGCACCTCAGCAATCCCTGTATTCAGGACCCTGAGCCTGCTCTTCTCTCTGGGCACTGCAAGTAACCAATTCGGGACTTCCTGTGAAGGCACCGGGAGTCTGGCTGCACACCTGGCCCCACCAAGGCAGAGGCTTCAGGCCTCAATCAAATCCCTTTGGGAAGTCATTGAACTCAGGCATTTCTTCCAACACCTTCTCAGCCTCCTTCTTTCCTCCCTTCCACAGCAATTTTGAGCTGCAGGACCTTTGGCCCTTCAGGAGCTGAGAACCCAAAACACACACACTCTGGTTGGGTGCTGCCTTCACATCCACCTGGAGGCCATGGCCACCAGGAGGGAGCAGAAGGCAAGGGCAGCACAGCCCAGCTTCCTGGAGGCCTCCCATAGAACCTCCTCAAGGCACAGGAGGTTCTACAGCCACTGTCACTATGCCTATCACCTCACTAATGCACAAAATAACCAGATAGATTTTTCACTATTGTCATAAATGTTGGATAACGAGATAGTCAATAAGTGAGGAGCAGATGTAGTTTGCTGTGGCTGCTATCACAAACCACCTCAAACTTGGTGGCTTAGAACAAGAGAAATTTATTCCCTTACAGTTCCAGAGGCAGAAGTCCAAACCCAGGTGTGGGTGGGGCTGCACTTCCTCGGGACACTCTAAAGGAGAACCCTTCTTTGCCTCTTCCAGCTTCTTGAGGCTGTCCGCCTTCCTTGGCTTCCCTGACTTGGGGCCACATCCCTCCAATCTCTAGTTCCATCTTCACATTGCTTTCACTCGGTATCTCTCCTCTGGGTCTTTTATTAGGACACTTGTCATTGGAGTTAGGGCCCACCCAGACAATCCAGGATGATCTCATCTTGAGATGTTTAACTGAATTAAATTGTAAAGGCCCTTTCATAAACAAGAGCACATTCACAGGTTCCAGAGACTTGATGAGGACATATTTTTTGAGGTTCCATCATTCTACCCCCATTAGAATGACCAAAAAGCAGAAGATATTTTTAATAATAAAATTTCCCTTAATAAACTTAATAAAATTTAAAAATATGTCTCTGTTTCTGATTATAGATGTAACATGATTATAGAGTAGACTGTAATAAAAATACCTTTAAAATAAATTTAATAAAGATAAAAAGACAAACTGCCCAATTTAAAAAGGGGCAAACAACTGGACTAGACATTTCTCCAAAGAAAATACATAAATTTCCAATAAGCACATAAAAGGATGCTCAGGATAATCAGTCATTAAGGAAACACAAATCAAAACCACAACGAGATACTATTCACATCCACTATTACTGTTTGCTGCCATCTAGTCAGCTCCAACTCACAATGGCTGTATAACAGAACGAAATGTTGCTGCGTCCTGTACCGTCTTCATGATCGGTTGTTACGTTTGAATCCATTGTTGTGGCTATTGTTGAGGGAAACCATCTCACTGAAGGCTTCCCTGGTTTTTGCTGACCCTCTGCCAACCATGACAGCCTTTGCTAACAGTTGGTCTTTCCTGATGACGAGTCCAAAGTAAGCAAGGCAAGGTCTCGCCATGCTCGCCTGCAAGGAGCATCCTAGTTGTACTTCGGAGACTGATTCGTTTGTTCTTCTAACAGTCCACAGTTTATTCAATATGCTGAGCCAACACTGCAGTTTGAATACCTCAATTCTTCTGTCTTCCATTTTCATTGGCCAGCTTTCTCATGCTTATGAGGTGACTGAAAAGACCATGGCTTGGCTCAGGCACACTTTAGTCATGGAAGTGAGATCTTTACTTTTGCTGCAGACTTGCTCAATGCAATACATCATTCAATTTCTTGACTGCTGCTTCCATGGACATTGATTGTGAATCCAAGTAGAATGAAATAGTTGACAACTTCAATTCTTTTCTCTGTCACGATATTGTTTTTCAGTCCAGTGTGAGAATTTTTGTTTTCTCTGTCAATGTGTAATCCATACTGAAGGCTGTAGTCTTTGACCTTCATCAATAAGTGCTTTAAGTCATGTTCACTTTCAGCAAGGAAGATTGTGTCATCTGCCTACTGCAGGTTGTTTATCAGTCTTCCTCCAATCCTCATACTGTATTCTTCTTCATATACACCAGCTTTTTGGATTATTTGCTCAGCACCCAGATTGAGTAAGTAAGGTCAAAAGATACAACTCCGAGAGACCACTTTTCCAATTCTGAACTATGCAGTATCCCTCTGTTATATTCTAGTGACTGTCTCTTGATCCATGGGCAGCTTCCAGGTCCTACATGAGCAAAATTAAGTGTTCTGGAATTCCCATTTTTCATAATGTTATCCATAATTTGTCATGATCCACACATTCAAAAATGCCTTTGAATAGTTGATAAACACAGATAAACATCTTTCTGGTACTGTCTACTTTCAGCCAAGATCCACCTGACATCAGCACAATGTTATCCCTCACTCTGCATCCTCTCCTGAAGCCAGCTTGAACTTCCGGCAGGTCCCTGTGGATGTACAGCTGCAGTCATTTTTAAATTATCTTCAGGAAAATATTGTTAGGATGTGGTATTAGTGATATGTTAGAAAATTTCATTTGATCATCTTTCTTTGGAATGAATACAAATATGGATCTCTTCCAGACAGCTGGCCAGGAAGGTGTCTCGAAATCTCTGCCCAGATCTCTTGGCAGAGATGAGTAAGCACTTTCACCACTGCATCCATTTACTGAATCATCTCAGTGGACTCACAGAAGTCACTATTCTACTACTGAGAAAAAAATCAACTTATTTTCAACACTAATGAACATAAAAATAACCAGTGCTAAAATACCAATTTGGGAGCTCTGGTAGCATAGTGGCTAAGGCACTT